ATATAATACAGTGTTTAAAACATGTTAATAAAACTTTTATGCTAAAAAATGTAATAACCATTGAAGTGTGAATAAAAGTGAAAAATAAAAACCATTCTTGATGTCTCTTTACATATTTTGTAGCATTGTTTGTGGGTTTGCAAGGTGGGGTCCCTGGCATGAAGCTAATTCTGTTTGGGGGGCCATGGCATGGAAAAGTTTGGGAACCCCTTGTCTAACCTATACATACAGTTCCAGTATGTATGTCCAACCCAAACCATAATGTCTACATCAAAAGGAGACACATAGACAGGTCAAAGGTCAACTAACAGACAGAACAAGAAGGTGACAGGTGAGGCTACCTGGCTCAGGTGTTTTGTTACAGAGAGATCAGAGTTCACAGAGTAGAGGGATCCTTGCTTCTTCTCAACCTGCGCTGGTCGCACCTCCTTCCCCATCGTACCTAAGAAGCAAGTAAGACGCTGTTACCCAAAACAACCCTGGCAACAAAAGATAACAGAACCAKGTGAGCAAAATCACAGGTAATTCACCTGCCAGCAGCCGCCCCATCGGATCCACCTTTCCATCATTCAGACGGTTGTTTGGTTTGTTTTCATCAACATTCAACAGTGGAGTAAACTTCTGAGCAAACCAATCTACGGCCACAATGCTGCGGCCCACACCTGCAACGTAACCACCTGACCTGCGAGGTACTGCGAAGCCCACGGTGTCATCTGCAGAGAGAAAAAGGTGAGCAAGAAGACAGKTGGACAAGCACAAGTGTGAAACTGATGAGATTTTTAGGAGAATCTCTGACCCGTCTCCACTGACTGGATCTGACTGGTYGYTGGACWCCAGCGGTGAATTTTCTGCCCAGCWATGTCAACAAACAGGAGCATCTGAGCTGACTCCTCCCACACYGGCCCTTCACCAATCAGAGCGCTCACCTCCACCACACTCTCCACCTTTATTGACGACATCGTCACCAGCCTCACTGTTTCAAAGAAAATAGAAAGTTAGATTTAAATCAAACACAAGTAACAGTACTAAAGTGTGTACTGCATAGATGCACAAATATACTTTAGTACTTTTCATGAATAAAGCGAAAAAAACATATGAAGCAAAAAATCTTACTAAACTACTGGCATGTCACAAAGTACAAATATAAACTGCAGTGCCACAAAGTATTGATATACACTGCAGTGCGAAAACGTACAAATATATACTACAGAACTAAAAAGTACCAATATGCACTACAGTACCAATATATATTATTATGCCATACAGTACTGACATTCAATGCTGTCCCGCAGARTACCAAAATATTCAGTACCACAAAGTACAGATTTGTACTACTGGGTTGTGGAGTACAGCCTATTTTATGGTATTACAATATATTAAAAAAAAATCAGTGCTCTGTTATACTACAGTACACACAGCATCAATACTCTGCGGCACTGAAGTACATATAGTAATAATGATTTGCAGTACTCAGTCTATAAACTATTAGTTCTGTAGTACTGTAGTACAGTATCTGTATCCAGTGGTACTGCAGTAAACAGTCTGTTAGTACTAGTCTGTTAGTACTCTGTGGTACTGTAGTAAAAAGTCTGTTAGTACTCTGTGGTACTGCAGTAAATAGTCTGTTAGTATTCTGTGGCACTGCAGTAAACAGTCTGATAGTACTAGTCTGTTAGTACTCTGTGGTACTGTAATAAAAGTCTGATAGTACTCTGTGGTACTGCAGTAAACAGTCTGTTAGTACTCTGTGGTACTGCAGTAAACAGTCTGATAGTATTCTGTGGTATTGCAGTAAACAGTTTGATAGTACTCTGTGGTATTGCAGTAAATAGTATGTTAGTACTCTGTCGTACTGCAGTAAACAGTCTGATAGTACTCTGTGGTACTGCAATAAGCATGTTAGTACTCTGGGGTACTGCAGTAAACAGTCTAATAGTACTCTGTGGTACTGCAGTAAACAGTCTGTTAGTACTCTGTGGTACTGCAGTAAACAGTCTGTTAGTACTCTGTGGTACTGCAGTAAACAGTTTGATAGTACTCTGTGGTATTGCAGTAAATAGTATGTTAGTACTCTGTCGTACTGCAGTAAACAGTCTGACAGAACTCTGTGGTACTGAAATAAGCATGTTAGTACTCTGTGGTACTGCAGTAAACAGTCTGATAGTACTCTGTGGTATTGCAGTAAATAGTATATTAGTACTCTGTGGTACTGCAGTAAACAGTCTGATAGTACTCTGTGGTATTGTAGTAAATAGTATGTTAGTACTCTGTGGTACTGCAGTAAACAGTCTGAAAGTACTCTGTGGTACTGCAATAAGCATGTTAGTACTCTGTGGTACTGCAGTAAATAGTATGTTAGTACTCGGTGCACTGCAGCCTTTTAGTACTCTGTGGTACTGCAGTAAACAGTCTGTTAGTACTCTGGTACTATTATTGGTATTCCTGCAGTATTTGATCTTTTTGAACTTGAGTTAAGATAGCTTAAACAAATGCTGACACAGCACATTATTCCACCAAACTCTGTTTAAAGTACAAAGGTTTTTACAGATTCTGGTCTCTGTGGTCCATTACAGACCAGACGGAACCATCTCTAAGCTCCGTGGGTCTGTAGAAACTTTAACAACATTCGGATCATTACAAACCGGGTGGAACCAAAGTTCTGCAGAAAAATTATAACAAATCAGAGCAAAGCAGGTTTTCTCTACTCTCTGTGGAATTACACAACAGAGCCAAATCCAGGTTTAGTTTTGGGTCGTTCTCGGACTTGTGTAAACCCAGATATGAGCCCCTTCTGACCGCATAAATTTTCGGATGAACTTTGGACCATACCAACTAATAAAARTAAATAAAATGCTAATTTTTGAACAAAAGTCCGGTGAAATCAGATTCGATTCAGTAAAGTTCTTTCAGGTTCTGTAAATGTATGAACAGATGTGAGACTCACCTGCTGTAGAACTTACCAGCTGCAGGTCCTACAGGTCCACACTACAGCTGGTCGGAGTCGGACAGTGAATAACTCGAGTTAAAGATTCGAATCATCGCACTGACTCAGGACTTGAGTCTGAGGTCTTTTGTTAACCCGGACTCTATAAAGAATCACTAAACCAGGGGAGTCGGATCAGGCTGTTCAGACTCCATTCCTGTCAGTGAGTCTAAGTAAATAATTAATTACTGCAATAAAACAAAAGTCTGGTGTTTGCGTCTGCTTTATGATGTCAGTGATATAAACTGGAAATGATGCTTGTTTTATTTGAACATAAAATGACTGTATTATTGTTCAACAAAAAATATTTTCCATTCAAACTAACTGAACCACCAGGGGGTGTTTGTTGTTCAGCCGTCGGGAGTGGTGGGCGGGGATGGTCTGCTGACTAAGCACCGCCCCTCCCGGCGGCTCACCAAAAGTTCCTGAGTCAGTACTCAATGATAGAATACAGAACAAAAACAGAAATTGAACTTTTCAACTAAAAAAAGATTTTATAAAMAGCACATTTATAACAACTGGAAGTATAATAAACCAATCAATGAATAAGTAAATCAACCGATCAAATTATACTTCATCAATCATCAGTTGGAGTTGGGGGTCAGGAACCAGAACCTAAGTTTAGTACCTTAAGTTTCTCTGGAAGAAAGAAACAAGCACCTTCAGTTGTTTCCAGTCTTACGTCTAAAAAGTAACAATCCTTACAGGTTAAAATTCCTCTAGATAAGAAACAGAAACTTCTGTTTTACCTAAATATTAGGGTTTTTTTCAGTTGTCATAAAAAAGTGACTTTTGTTCAGTTCCAAGTTCTGGAGTTAGACTGAATCAAAGATAAAACCGGTTTGAAGGGCAAGAAACACCCAAAAAGCAGGGTGTCAGTTTAGCTTCGCATGATTTAATTTATTACYATTATAAATTAAAGTTGAGCATTTAATCAGAAACACACATTCGCAAAATGAAGACTTTTCTTGTTACTCTTTCACAATAAAACACTGGTGGCTTCTGTGGGATGGAAAGCTTTGATTGTGAAGGAACCGCAGGAGGAAGTGGCAAACTTCTATGGACAGAACCATCAGAACAGCGGTCCAAACGTGTCCTGGGTCAGAGCTCCTCAGAGAACAGAACCTGATCCAGCAGCATGCAGTTGCTTTGCTGAATAAAGTTTATTTAAATTACAGAAAAAAACAATCAGCTGATTAAAAACCAGTGATGTCAAATTCTGTGGGAGGAGCCTGTTGCAACGGTAACGCCTCCCACAGATCACTTTTTAGCGACAGCAGCTCGCGCTCGGTTCAACTTGTCAATCAGCAGGCGGTCGGAGGCGGCACATCTGGAAAGGACCGCCCCCATCTCTGATTCGTTCTTCCGCTCGATGGCAGCGTCCGCCGCCCCCTCCAAGTCACTACAGAAAGAGAAGATCAGTGAGCCGGGGAGGGGGCGGGGCCAATCTGTTTGATGGTGTCACAGCTGTCGTCTCACCTCACGGCCAGGTGAGCTTTCACCTTCTGCTCAGGTGTGACCTTAGAGATGTACTTCTTGGCTTCATACCTGTTGTTGTTCTTTATGCAAACCTCCACAAACGCCTGAAGGACAAATGCAGCAAAGGCTCATGGGAGAAGCAGGACAWTAGCAGCATTATTAAAAACTATAAAACAACAAAAAGGGCGGGGTTTCTTACAAGATAACCAATGGGGGACTTTTTGCTCTTTGAGAATTTCTCTAACTCCTCCCACTCCTCCTTCTCTGCYAGAGACTTGAGCTTCAGCCACCAGTACCTGTACAGGTAAAATCAGTTAGTGAGTGATCGGTGAGGACAAACCCTAACCCACGTCTCACTGACATCACATCCGCTCACCTTTTGTCAGGCACCCGGAAGTCTTTGTAGAGTTGCTCTGCCTGTTTGTGAAGTCCCAAAGACATCAGCGCCTCCATGGTGGCCTGAAGGGAGCAGGGCATCACTAAAAACCACTGAGMTTGTTTATGATTCTCACGTTTGATCGCTGATCAAAACAGATCATCAGAAAATCATTCAGATACCCACAGAACCACAACCGGTCTTTTTACCTACCTGTAGGGAAAGTCCAAGAAGCCCCGCCCCTTTCTCATCGTCCATCTTTCGTTGAAAACGAAGGAGCCGCATCTCTTCTTCTGTGGCCTGAAAACAGAAACAAATACAAAGTTGTGTTTGGTGGAGCCTTTAAAAACCTTTGGATTTTATCTTCAGAGAAATGAAACAGATTTTATTCTAACAGATTGAGACATGTGACCTCTTCAACGTAATTCAATATTGATCTCCACTCAGGCTATTTTTTAGAACACTTTAGTCACATGACTACATCTCCTCAACACCTGTGTGTGTTCAAACTCTGGCAGAGTCTCTATTAGTTTCAATCCCAGTGTGTTGGTCTRGCTGTGTTTAAACTTAAAGGAATTCAGTAACAAGGAGRACCACAAAACATTGTGCTACAGTTCTTATAACAGTGACTCAGGATACAACCATCGTCCCCACATAGGAGGAGTACTTATCACTTTTCCCAAACTTAAAGGGATCCTCGATTAGTTGTAACATTAGAATTTATTTGATAAACATTTATTTTAACTGTAAAATAAAGACTGTAAAAAATACTGTAGGCTGTTTAGTTTTGTAAATATTTTAAATATATATATTT